CACATTTTTATTGATCCTTTTCAAAGTTTTAAAGAAACGACAGTAGCCATGATGCTTGCTCAGTTTAGATGGCTTAGAAGAAAAGCAGAACTCTTTAAAAAGCATCCCCTGAAAAATTACACTAAGAAATTTATTTATGATTTGTGGAACGAAAAAAATCCCGTTTTTTCTGAATGTATAGTTCGTGCACAAAGTTAGTGATCAGTGAAGATGACACGAAATGATTTGCAATCTTGATTGTTCATATCCCTAAAATTTGTTAAGATGAGTGCTTTTTAATTAATCGACATTGATAAAACTGCAAACGCAACAAAGCGCTGGACGAATTGTCTCTTTTACTACTTGTCTCACTTCAGCAATCTTCCAGCAATAAAGAAATGGGTTAAGTGATGAGTTAAAATACACTAATGAAACTGATGCTGCCCAAGCCAGAAAATACGATGAAGACATTGTTATGTTGTTACGTAATGCCATCACAACGAGATATGGAAGATAACAGAGAGCCATTGCAAGCTGAACCCACACTGCACTATGCACTGCTTTTCTGTATCGCCCAATGTCAAGTGGAACTGTCAACTTTGGATGTGCTTCCTGCACACGTTTATAAACTTCAGTTTGACGGCGACGAAGCTTGAGGAAAATGTAAGTGTACGAGACGGCTGTGATCGTAAGACAAAATACTATAGTAATACGGCCATACCAGACGGTAATACGGTGGCTTGCGAGGTACAATAGCGCAACGACACAGGAAACTACCCAAAAGGTCGTTACAACTGCATATGTTCGCTTTAATGTTACAACCTGTTTGTACCTTAGCCCCAGTAAGAGAGCGAGAAGCCTGTCCACACTTATCGCAGTCAACGTCAATATAGATACCGACGCCAACACGTAGCCTGCCATAAAGGATGCAATCGCTGAGAACCTACAAACATCCCAGTCTTCGTAAACCAGAGACATCCAATAGGCAACATTGAGAGGTTCTGCAACTAGGCCAACACAAAGATCAGTTGTCGCCAAATTATGAAAC